TTGCGCTCCCCAGATCAACCCCGCTGACGGGTGATTGCTGTGGCAAAAAGATCGATAGAAATAGCTGAGAGACGTGCGAAACAAAGGACCCGCATGGTGTGGTGGTGAACGCGTTACTCCCCGGAAAGGATAATAGCGCGTTCGTTCCCCACCATAGACACCTGCGGTCCAGAGTTTTGCAAATATCTCAGCAACATTGTGGTTGTATTTCGCTTAGTAACCTGCCATGAAAATTATAGAAGGCAGAAAACAAAACGTTAAAACAATATATCATCTTTATTTATATTGATTATGGAAGCAAAATGATCAGGGTTGGTTGACCAAACCTATAGGGATTGAGTGCATTCACAGCTAGTTGAGATAGGTAGTTGAAATAGGCAGACTGACCCTTCTGAAGGTAGAAGCAATTTCGAACTACCACCCAAACATCTCCTAACCTAAATAATATGCACGAATGCGCCACGTCTATACGGAAGTTACAATCCCTTATTACGCAGTAGATATAATATAACAAACCAACTCTGAGAATCCCAGCTCCACACCTTACCCCTTGAGCTTTACATGGAATCGCGCTGCGAAGTCTGGCGATCAATCAACTTAAAATCCTTCACGTGAGGGTTTTATTCTTCACATCCGGATGTCTGTAACCAATTTAACCGCTTGAATGATTCTAGAAATCACAGTGACATTAGCAAATGAGAAGAGTCTGTCGTAAAAACGGCTTCGATCATGTCTATTTGGAATATAACGGTATTTGAACATAAAGACTGAAAAAATCTAAAAACGTAACAAATGGAATTCGGACCGTTCCCAAATCCTTTCTTATTTTGCTGTCTTCTTACTTTATTCAAAAGCATCTACATGAATAAATAAATAGAAAAATTACAATCGTGACCTGAGAAGGCAGTAGCAGTCTGGATATTGCTATTAGATAATAATGAGGGTCCTTATCAATCATGTACTGCAGGGTATGAATGCCATACACTAGACCAGTAATAATGAGAAAACTAATGATATAAGAGAATTATTGCAGAAGACACCATAAATTAGTTTGGAAAACAAGTTTGCTATCCGTACAATCTCGTTTTCTTTCCACGACACGCCAGCACACGCATACGGCAAACTTGTAGACCTCATTATAAAGTGGAGAAACCATGCCACATTCTACATCTCTCAATGGTTCAACGTCAAGACCCTACAATTTAAGAACGAGTTCCAGATTCCCTTCCAGAAAACCACGTTAACAAACCTATACCATGGTATGGAAGGGCGCGTGTGGTGCAGTGGTTGGAGGCGCCGCTGCGACACATACGTGGAATCGATCCCCGAGCCTATGGCCCACCAAGCCTTCCATCCCTCCGGGGTTGGCATATTGGCACAAGACTTCTCCGGAAGGCTACCAGCACTGGGTCGATACATCGGTAGGCCACTGCAAGTCATTGTAAAGGCCAGATATGCATTCAATCACCTTCAACGAAACTGAATAAAGCCGAATGCGTGGCGCATCCCTCAGGAATTGATAAACACCGAGAGCTTTGTCCTTTATCTGTATCTCCTTATACCATGGTATAACCTAGCGAGCATCTCTTGAATAACATTTCATCAAAAAAGCTTTGAAAAGGCTTTATAATAAATGTGTGACAACTCTGGAGTCCAGTCAGTAGGTGAAGCTCACTGAAAGGGCTCTGGGGAGTGCACAAAATGAACATTTTACTGACTAGAATGCCTGCTAAAATTTAATAGCTCGATAAATAACGGTATTACAGTTGAGAAAGGTGATTTATGATTTCAAATTATATCGGCTGACACGTCCTAATAGCGATTTTATTTCAAGACCAGCTTCCTACTACTGGTTCATCGACGTGTCGATGTGGTCATTTGAGAATCGATATGATCACAAATCTAAGAACAGCCGACCATGTTCCTATCACGAAATCGAACGAAAACGGTAAGCAGACACAATAACGCTTTCCGTTCAGATTCGATGTGATTCGGATGCTCGGCGACTTCGGATATCAAATCGATGAAAATCGTCGTCTTCGTACCGTAATTGCACCATAAACAACTCGTTTTACCACCATCATGTAAACATCTCCACATAAAGAAAGCAAATTGCTTGATAGCCGTAATCCGGTACTTTAACGTACAATAATCAAAACGTTCTGAACATCTTTACCTACAAACTCCTCAAACTAATTTTTAAGAACCATCTGACTATTAAATTGCTATGATTTTTAGTGGAGAATAGCCCTTTCGGTCTACTAAATCTTCTTCCAGTAGTGCGTTGACTTCTTAGAAATAGCTGCCCTCTTAGGAAAATCCGAGAATTCAATGCAGTAAACCTATTCCAGATCTTAAGGGTTTAGAGCGACCGTATAACAGCCACTTTGAAATTCTAAAAACCACATTGAAAAGACAATCAGCAAGTCAATAAGAAGAGAAGAGGACGGATCGACCAGTCGCAGATAAATTCACATATGAGCGTGAATATTTCCATGGATTACAGATACCAGGCGAAAACACGTAGGAATAAAATGACTGGATCAGCAGGATTTATAATAAGGACGGCCTAGGTATCGTAAGCAGTGTAGATTTATTTAATCGTTCAGCTTCCTCAAGTTTTTCTGGCAATAAATCTTTCTGTCACAAAAATGAATTATTGATACTACAAAGTATTGTGAATTCGAATACTGCCTACTTTACACTGCTTCTTTTCTAAGGCTTCTATTTATTATCTAGTGATTACTCAAAATTTTTAATGTTATTTGTTTAGCACTCTCCTATTCCATGGCTCAGCGCTTCATCGTGACGAACGCGATGTTGCTCTTAGTTGTCGAGCACACCATAAACCCTACGGGGTTACCCGACAGCAATACCATACGGTGGAGTTTTTCTAAATTGCACCAAAAACTAGATTAAAATTTGGAACCATGGCCGTTCCTGAGGAAAAGTTTGCGCGATGAAGAACAAGATCACAAAGATCAGCAAATAGTTTTAGTAGGAGCAGCATGACACCTCTCCATTGGGACTCCAAGCAAAAAGATACATGTGGACCAACCGAAATGCATAAGATAAATACTAGTTAGCTAGATATTGTGTTGAAGACCTGGTAAAATTAGGAAGAAGGTTCATCCAAGTATCTGTCAACATTATTACGAACTTTGCAGTTCTAATTTCTATTTCGTTAGTAAAATAACAGGAGAATCCGTTGGAGGTCACACCTCATGAGTTAGCTCTCTGACTTTTTTTCCACCGCTGTGTTTCTTCTTACATATATTATATGCGCACTTAGTTAAATGAACGGCCAGTATCCATAAGAGATCTGGATAGATTTTTACTTCCAAGATGTCAACACGTTTAGCCGTTAGCGAGTCCTCCGGCCATGACGTGGTTGTAAACCATCCAGCGCCAATTGCAAATTGTATTTATTGACCCACAAAAATCCGAAACAAAAAATCTTGAGGCGGTCACTCGTAAAGGTTAAGTGACAGATTCATTGGTGGGAAATAAGTGATCAAATACGGATCGAAACTGCTATGTACTTAAGAAGACACCTAGATGAATTCAAATGATGATATGAGCTTATTTCCAGGAAGATAATTTGGTTTTTGCTTGCAACTATAGGGACTATTCGGGGTCTGGCTGAAACGAATAATTCCCTTCTTTCTCCAGAGAGACGAAGAAACTATCCATGAATAAACCGCAGGACCCATTGGATATCATGTGACTCTTTGCCAAAACACATGGATAACATTTAAATGGACAAATGCATTTACTTTAAAAGATCTTTGTCACTATTTTTATTTATCTACTCTTCTCCCTTTCTATGCCTTTTATTTCAGTGCCTCCGCTGGCCATTAGGAAACTTTACAACTTCTTCCAGTACAACGGCGAACGTTGTCCTGACATCTTTACTGGCATACCCTATCAACTTCATTTTACAGCTAAACAGGTGCTGTTGATGTTCCTGGAGCAGTGGTTGATCGCTCAGCTGCCCTTATCGCTTGTGTCGGCCGTGAAGCGGCATTTCAAGACGAGCAAGCCATAAATGTGTGTCTACATAACTGATATACAATGGGATTAGCGCGCAGAGAAACCGTCCACAAACGGCCGCAAAAAGATTTCAAGTGCTCGGCCCCGATTTGCGCAAGGATTAGCCCGTTTAGCATAAAAATCCCGCGCTACACTGAAGGGCGTTGAGATTGGTTACAGGTGTCTCGTTTTTTAAGAGTTCTAGACTGTACGTGGCATTAAGATGAGATCGAGAAGAGACCAGTACAAAAGCTCTTGAGGGGTCCATATGTTGTGAAGACAAACTATTCAAGTATCGAAGTAAAAGTGAACAAAATGCTTACTTTAAGTGATTAAATCTACTGTATCGCCGTCTTATGAAACAATATGCAAAGAAAAAGGTTTTGGTTTCAATTAATCTAACCAAAATATATCCTTGTTCAATCTATTTGCTTCGCTTCTAGTCCAGTTGACTAATGATTTCTATTGTTTCTGATGATAATCAGTGATAATCGAGAACTAGGAGAGTAAGTAAGACACAAACAAGAGATAAGAAGGTTTCATACACATTAATAAAAGGTTAAAATTTTATTCTTAACAATATCTTGTGAATATCTAATGAATGCAATTTCCGACTAGTTCATCGACACGTTGAGATGGTGAATGTTCCATCCACGTCCGATGTGAGGCAGAGCTTAGCAAAACCCCAGCGTAATGCTTAACCTTTGAGGATTTGTAAAAAGAGACCATTGATTTGTCCTAATAGTACTCTAGAAGGCAGTTCTAGATTTCTGGATCAGAAGAAGACTTTTTGTCATCTAAACAAAGAAGTGGTGAAAATTTTGCTGTTTAGGAAAAGAAAAGGCACGATAGCATTTTTCCATGAAAAAGCATGAATCCTTAAACAAACTGTCACTTTTACAGCACAATTATTGCTGTGTTTAGTTATCCTTAAAAATTCCTAAGACCGACTTTCTGTTAACCTCGGCATTAATTGATAATTCAATGTTTTTCATCAATAAGCAGACACGAGGTTGTTAATATAGAATTTATTAGAACACAATTGCTGACGTTTCGGCGGTTTCGCCTTCTTCAGAGCCGTTTATTTGTTGTAAGTATTTAAGTTAGTTGGTGGATAGCCGCTGCACAGAGTAATACATGGTCGATAACTGTGTTTTCAGTACAGTTTCAGTACAACAAATAAACGGCTCTGAAGAAGGCGAAACCGCCGAAACGTCAGCAATTGTGTTCTAATAAATTCTATATTAACAACCTCGTGTCTGCTTATTGATGAAAAACATTGAATTATCCTTAAAAATACTTCTAAAAACGACGTTCTTTTAACATTGGCTTGAAAAGTCAATATATATTTAGATGATTAAGCTGACAAGAGGTTGTTATAAAGCATTTATTCGGCTAACGTTTGGGCACCCTCGCCTTCGTCGGACCCATGTTGATCCCACTCAATTGTCCACAGTCTGTCTTTGTCGCGATCTGGGTCTCCGTTGTTGTCTTGAGTCGATTTGTCTGGAGAGGAGCAGAACTCGAACATAGTACCTTCACTCATACTGGGTTTGAAAGAAAGCCAATTTAAGAAACATTGCTACGTTTTGTGCCAACTAATAAAATACCGTTGTAGGATACATTGCTAGTCAGACCAGAAGATTAGCAGACCATATTGGCCGAGAATAGATAAACGACCGTTTCGTACAAAAGGTCCCTGACGAATGACGATACTTCATTCTAGTGATGCTTCATTCCGTACATTTCGACTCAGTGCGACAACGAACAACCACATCGAGAGGACGACAACCTATGACCATTGAGTCGATTCAACATTACTCTGAGGAAGGGCGCTGAAACGTCAGCAGAATAAATGCTTCATAACAGTCTCGTGAAGTTTAATCACCTACGGAAGTAATCTCAAAAATATGAGAAGACTACGGTAACGAGCATACAAACACAAACAAAAACCCACAGATGCGGTAGGTAGTGAAAGAAGAAGGATAGCATGGAAATGTAACAAAAAAAAAACTGGCTAGCAATGAACAACAGAGGAAATATTGTCAGGAATATTCAAAACAAACCGATATGTGAAAAATCGATATGAACTCTAGTGATCGAAAATCTCAATTCATCTCGCCACCACCAATTTATGTGTTTGTTTTCATATTTTTTACTTAATGTTCTGCACTGTGCAACTTTTCCTCACTTTTTGTCTATCCCAAGTTTTTTGCGTATTTCTTTATTAGTTAAGAATATACTTGCGTACTTTGATTTCTGGCACAATTTCCACTTTTTTTCTGGAGTTTTACTGGTTCCAACCAACAGTATGCCTCCTCATTGTGCTGGGAGATGCTCCTGGGTGTCGGGCTGCGATGTACAGCGGGGAATTCATCCCTTGGCAAGGTCTCTCAAGCTGAGAAGGAGTTCGGCGTTTTCATTAGAAAACCTAGCTAAGAGTGAACTAATACCAGGATCCACCACCGACCTGTAGCAAATCTCCATCTGATCCACAAGGGCTGCGGCTGAATGTGGTAGTGAAGACCTGGGCAGACTTTGGCCAAGCTGGCTTCGGGACTAGAGGGAACCACAATGGATTAGCCAGCAAATCTCCAAAAAATGGAGATTATACTAGAGCCCACACAGCCAGTCAGGACGGGCCATTCAAGTATCAAGTAAGTAAGTTGCGCCGGTTTAACCATTGCGACTACCTGGAGTGCTCAGGTAAGCCAGACCAAAGTTTGCCCGGGTCGTCACCACCACAGGTAGTAGCCGCTCTTGTGGATCAGAGGTAGATTTGCCACCTTGCTACGTTACTAGTTTGATACCAGGACGGCGGTATATCTCGGTATTCCTTTACTCTTAACTGGGCTTCCAAATGGAAACGTCAGACTCCTTCTGAACCTAGGAGACCCTGCTGGGGATGTGAATCTCTCCGCTGTACATTGCAGTCCGACACCCAGAAACACCTCCCAGCCACGATGACGCGGTAAACCCTTGGGTGAAAAAAATAACGACAATAAATTAAATTAAATTGAAGTTTAGGATAAAAGATATGAGGGAAATTTTTTAATGCCAAATTTTATCCTCTAAGCGGTTCTTCTTGTTTCTTTCTGTAATCAGGTTTTGTTCCGCACGAATAGTAATAATCATCTAACAGTGGATAAGTCAATACAATCGATCAATCGGTTAGGATAGACTATCTAAACCATTGCAGTTATGCATCTATAGTTTTATAACTACTAACATCTCTGCTCTTAAGTACGTTAGTCGCGAAACTTTGTGAAGAGTCCCAAGATGGTAGAGGTGCGTTTAACGAAAGTGGACCAAATGAGACCGCACACTTTTGCTCAAAAACATAAGTCTGTTTAAAAGATGTGTCCTATATCTGTTCTATGATAATCAAGTAACTGGATAGATCCTATACCTGCGAACTACCACACGTGGGTAGACAATCCAAGGAGTGGGGACTAAACAGGAACTACTGCATGTGGGAGAAGGAATGGAGTCGTGGCGAACTGGAAACTATTACAACTCATAGGAGACGATTCATGCAGAACTAGTTGTTAACTACTACATATGGATCTTTCTTCCAAAAGATTGGAGCCGGCGGGAACTGGGAACTACTACACATAGAAAGCGGTTCGGCGGCACTTTAAACAGCATAGGCGCACATAACATTATACAAAAACATGGTAATCTAGGTAAACACAAAAATTAAACTTTGCGAAAAACGCGATGCGGACAAAACATGGTTCTCTTTTTCCAAAAGCAGTAAAAACAGTCTCATGCCAAGTCCGTGCTGTGTAGCATAGGAGTTCGACGTGCGCCGCAATACACACTGGTTAGGTCAGTGATTTGATTTTGAGTCCTGAGTTTAGCAGCTGCTTCGCCACTCCGGGGTCGGCAGATTGGTATCAGACTTATCTGGGAAAAGAGCAGCACTGCTGTGATAAATCGCCAATTCACAGCAAATCATTGTATAGGCCAGATATAGATCCAGTTACCTCAACGATGCTCCGGATGGAGTAGGATGCGTAGCGAATCTCTCAGGAAATGATCAACGCTGAATGCTCTGTTTTTTGTACATCATCGGCATGACAAATTCTTCGTCGATTCATTTACCTCCACCTAGCGAATCGAACTAGCCAGTTCTTTCTCAAACAATGGTAAGAGGTCACTTAATCGATGCCTCCCTGGGGTATTCAACAATTAAAGGAATTAGAACTGATAAATTAATGGCATATTGGGTTAGTCGGCTAAACGATAACAAGTTCGTTACAGTACTCTTGAATAGGTTCTTAAATAGAAGTGTTAAAGATTTATCCACAATATACAGCCGTCGCGAAAATTAAATACAAAAAGTTTTACTTAAATGACGAAACAACAACAAAGCCCTACTTAATAGTGAATAAATTTGAAAAGATAGCGTCCAAAGGAAGCACAATTTTGAGTAGAAAAGCGAAAAAGTCTGAAACTTATCACCAACCAGTAACTAAGTAACACGTTCAACCATGACCATTAACAAGGCACCATGTCCAACCTCTTCGTCATGGTTACAGTACGTTTGAATAGGTTCTTAATTAGGGATGCTAAAGATTTAACCATAATGAACGCCTTCGCGTTCTAGCTATGGTAGAAAGATCGATTTGCAGCTCGAAATCGATTATATGAAAACTTTCACAATGTTTTAATAGGTCAATCGATTATTTTCTCATGTGTTCATCGTGGTGAGCCGAAACTTATAGCTCTAGCCAGTGAAATCGGTGTCAAAACGCATAATATTACGGTATATGGAGTCAGACACACAGAGGAATTAATTTTTTGTGTGTTTACGAAATTGCAGAAATTTGGAAGAAATCGACGATTCGATGAATTCTCACGATTGATTAAGCATTATCGAGCAGAATTCACTAATCAAGTTATTTCAAGGTAAAATCTTCAGCAACTGTCAACGACAAACAAATTTTTGGCGGAAAACCTAAGTGGAACCGTAGAGTTTTCAACGGAAAATCATCGGACGATAAAAAAGGA